TTCCAGCAGAGGCCACGAGGCATTACTGTATACACAAAGCCATTTGTCAACCACTGCTGACAGAGGCAGAATTTAACTGGAAGTGCAACACTGACGAGTCCACAACGCAGAGCCTACGGTTCAACTATCGAGACAAGAGGAGCTTAAGGAGCCACAGGGTTCACTCAGGTTGCACGTGCCTATTAAACATCATTTAGGCACCGAAATACAGACTGAAAGCTTAAAAAGCAAAGGGGGGGGGGGAAGTAAAAACATCTTTTGAAAGTCTACTGCTTTTCCGCATTTCCATGAAAAACCAACAAATCCTTACTTTCTCTAAGTGATACCTCACTTAGGAAAAGAGTTTTAAATCATTTCAACAGGCCAGGAGGGACAATAGCGCGAACTTTGCTGTGGATGCGTGCCAAGTGTAGGGAAAAAAAAAAAAAAAAGGAAAAAAAAAGAAAGAAAGGTGGCAAAAAGGCAGACAATATCCTGAAAAGTGGATTCAGAGAGTAATAAGTCTGTGCCAAAGGTGAAAAACAGCACATGAAAAAAATTTAGTCTGTTCCTGAAAAGCTGCGTTTCCTCTAGGACGGTCCTCTTTAAGAGTCTCACTTCTATCTGTTGTGAATCAAACAAAACTGACCCATAACAAAGCAGCAGTCGGGCATCTGGGGCTAGAAGAGAGCAAGGAGCACTGCCCAGAGAGGGAGGACAGAATTTCAGCAGGAAGGGGTCGGCACTTGGCACAAGCTGAGCAGCCTTCAGCAGCAAGGTCCTGAAGAACTGATTTAATTCCTGCTGATTGTCCAGCCGCCTTCTAGGTTGCAGCAGCCACACAGCATACGTGGAGAGGCTTGTCTGTGCTTGCCTTCACACATCCCTCCAAAAGAAACCCAGAACTTCTCTTGTAATGCTGCCCCTATGCCTCCATGGTACTTCCTTAACAAAGTCGTTAAAAGCAAGCTTAAATTAGTGCATCTCACAGGGAATTCTACGCAGAACATTCTATGAGTCTTCAAAAGATCTTAAATTCAAAGAGGAAACAGCATTTTCACAGCTTCTATTTACAACAGGTTTTTCCTTTCCAGGGCTCAGAGGTTTGACACTGGTCCATGAAGCTTTTAAAATAATTTATGATAAAAATCTCCACAAGGTGGTACGCTGTACTGATAGGAGAGGCAGATCTAGATCACCATCTTAAGAAAAACACAGTAAAGTTGCACAAGATGGATATTTTAAGAACAGCTGCAATAGCAGAAGCTAAAGTTCTTTATCTAAGCTGGTTTATTTATTTTATGACTATTCTTCCCTTTTGTTACAGCTAAGAAGTCACTATAATGTATAAAACCCAAATACAACACTTTCTATCATCAGCAATTTGTTTTTGCTTGCAGTTGGACAGACAACTTCTTTAACTGCTAATAACATGAACAAAAAAAGAATAAATCAAGACTACCAAGATCATCACACACAACAGGAAGTCAGCCGCAAAAATTAGGTACACGCCATCTCCTTGGAGATCTGGCTTTCAACATGCAAGAAGCACCTGAATTACTACCACAGTCTCCAAATCTTCTGCTCTTATAATCTTGAACAGGGATCTCCTCTTCCAGGGTACCTGAACACAAACTATAGTCACATTCAGTTTACAAATGAAGGGAGTATGAACACCAGGGCTAAAACACCAACTATTAGCCTTACAGTTATTTAGTGAAATGAACTTAAGTTATTTCACAGAAGTAAACACTATACACAGCATTTAGTGCTTTTTCACAGCTTCTATTTACAACAGGTTTTTCCTTTCCAGGGCTCAGAGGTTTGACACTGGTCCATGAAGCTTTTAAAATAATTTATGATAAAAATCTCCACAAGGTGGTATGCTGTACTGATAGGAGAGGCAGATCTAGATCACCATCTTAAGAAAAACACAGTAAAGTTGCACAAGATGGATATTTTAAGAACAATTGCAATAGCAGAAGCTAAAGTTTCTTTATCTAAGCTGGTTTATTTATTTTATGACTATTCTTCCCTTTTGTTACAGCTAAGAAGTCACTATAATGTATAAAACCCAAATACAACACTTTCTATCATCAGCAATTTGTTTTTGCTTGCAGTTGGACAGACAACTTCTGTAACTGCTAATAACATGAACAAAAAAAGAATAAATCAAGACTACCAAGATCATCACACACAACAGGAAGTCAGCCGCAAAAATTAGGTACACGCCATCTCCTTGGAGATCTGGCTTTCAACATGCAAGAAGCACCTGAATTACTACCACAGTCTCCAAATCTTCTGCTCTTATAATCTTGAACAGGGATCTCCTCTTCCAGGGTACCTGAACACAAACTATAGTTCCCATTGGCAAGCGCCCAGCTCCACTGATGAGTCACAGGCCCATCGATGCAGCTGCAGGAAACACATTCAGACAAGTCCTGTTGGGTTGTCTGGCTTTTCTAAGGAAAAAAAAAATGTGTTCTACAACTGAAATGATTGCGTATTTCCTTACTACACGCTCAGCTTTGAGATAAGTACTCCACTACTGGCACAATGAAAGCCCCACTAAGACTTCAGAAAACATAATCAGTGTATCATTGCAGAAGAAAGAATTGTAAACATGCTTCAGAATTCCCCTTTTGTTTTCATCCTTCCACTGTAAGCCAGCAAGTTTACATGCATCAACATAAAGTAGCAAGGACATGGTATTAGTTTCTCATCTGTTTTCATCCTTCCACTGTAAACCAGCAAGTTTACTTGCATCAACGTAACGAAGTAGCAAGGACATGGTATTAGTTTCTCATTACAGATACAACCAGCATTTGCATTCAGCTACTACACAGCAATATCTACTAGAATTCTCTTCACCACATTTTTGTTCACTAAAAGCCTACGTTTTTGCTGACATGATGAAGCCTTTGGTTATAGAGGCTGTGGCCAGCCTGAGTGCAAAGTCACCAGGAAAACTCTGCTTTTGTTTTCAAAACCTTACTCAGAAGGATATTCCGCTCCTTTCACCTTCTGTTTGCTATACTCACTTGCAGAAAAATTAGGTTTTTGCTTCTAGGCAGCTTGTCACATCAACCACAACCACAGCAGCCTTACACCGAGGGAACTGTTGTGCTGGACTAGGCTAGATTATAGCAGGTTTGTTTTACAAGTGATTCACTGATATTGTACTTTTACCTAAAATTGCTTAATACAATGTAAAAGTAGATTATTTTATTAGCAATAAGAGTATGTCCATAAAAGAGGTGAAGTCACTTCTTGAAAAAATCCCAGTATTTAACATCATCTCAAGCCTCCTTACAGCTAAACTGTCAGCGGGGGAAGGAGTTTTCCTGCAAAGTTTTCTGGTTAATAATCAGCCAGTAAGTCAAATAAACTGGATGCTCAAGAGGCAAACTACCAACGATCAAATCAGCAGGCACTAAAAATTAGCATTTTTATTGCTCCTACTGCTCCTACTCCACGCCCAGGTAAACCTCAGTAGTCTTCTAAACTCCTGCATGGCATTGCCCATCCCCAGGGGCACCTGAGTTCAGCTCCTTCACCTGGGGATGGATCTGAACTGCACTAAGTCCTGGCAAATCTGCATTACGCATCTGCAGAATCCAAGGAGCCTAGAGATGTAATCTGTGTTTCCGAGATCAACTGCAAGCAGCATTTTAGGTAAATGGATCTTGCTTTGTGGGTAAAGCCCAGGAGAGAGCTGCCGCACTCATCTAATGCATGGACATGCTTCCTATTTCAAGCCCTTTCCACAAGCTCCCAACATGCGTTTTGTTTTTAACAATTTTCTCATTTGACCTGAGCTATTAGACAAGCAACCTCTGGTTCTAATGAGCTGCTCCAGTCTGAAGTGTAACTCGTAAACCAAACTGAGTGTTTCTTTTGCAATTCACTTGCAATGACTCTGCCCAAACAGAGACAAAACTGTGTTTTTGGCTGGCGGGCCACCCCTCTTCCCCCACCAGCACTCAGCTGAAAGGTGTCCCCACACCTGTGGGTCAAGGCCATGATCCCAGTGCTCTGTTTGGACTGCCCAGTCTTGCACTCCCCCTCTTTGCCATGCAATTCCCAGTTTCATAGAATCATAGAATGGTTTGGGTTGGAAGGGACCTTAAAGATCATTGAGTTCCACCCCCCTGCCCTGGGCAGGGACATCTCCCACCAGACCAGGTTGCTCCAAGCCCCATCCAGCCTGGCCTTAAACCCCTCCAGGGATGGGGCAGCCACAGCTTCTCTGGGCAACCTCTTCCAGTGTCTCACCCCCCTCACCGGAAAGAATTTCTTCCTGAGATCTATTCTAAATCTCCCCTCTTCCTATTTAAAACCGTTACCCCTTGTTCTGTCACTACACTCCCTGACAAGTAGCAGAGGAAGCACTCTGGAAGTAGCAGAGGGGACATCCCTGGAGGTATCTAAAAGACGGGCAGATGTAGCGCTGAGGGACATGGTTTAACACTAACTTGATACTGCTGGATTAAGGACTGGACTTGATGACCTTAAATATCCCTTCCAACCAAGACAATGCCATGAATCCATGGCTGGTACCATCCACCGTACCCGTAAAGGTCTGTCACCACCATTAATTACAGGTGCGATAAGGCCAGGGGTAATTACGCTTGTGACAAACCACCCTGCAGCAGAGAGACACTTCCACACCGTCCCACCCACGGCCCCGCGTTACCAGAAGTGACTTGCGTGTCACCAGATCACTTCCACGGCAAAAGCTTTAACTTTACCACCCCAGGGGCAGCTCAACCGGGACCGGGGCACCTCGGGGAAGGGACCGGGGGGGGACGGGACAGCCCGGCACAGGCCTCACAGGATGAGACTTGAACAAAGCCGGACGCCCTTCCCTCCCCGCCGGCAAAGCGGGACCCGCCGCTTCCCCTCCGCCTCCTCCCCCGCGGCGACAGGCAGACGCCGGCCCCCGGTCACGAACAGCCCCAGGACCGGCGGGCCCGCCGCCCTGCCCATTACCGCCCCGTCCCATCCCCTCAGCCCGTTACCTGCGGGCGGCTGCTCCCCGGGGAAGGCCGCGCTTCGGTGGGCGGCTGCTACCACCACAGCGAAGGCCAGGAGGGCCGGCGGCAGCCGCATGGCGCCCGGCGGGAGCTCGGGGGAAGATGGGCCGCCCCGCCGCGTCCTCCCCCACCCTCGCTCCGCTCCGCTCCGCTCGCCTCGCCTCAGCGGCGGCGCTTGCGCGCTGAGCTACCGGCGGCGACGTGCCGGGAAGGGGCGGGCGGGTCCCGCCTTCTCCCCGCGCGAAGGGCGGGCGGTGCGGGGGCGGCGGGAGGCCCGGCGGGTCGCTGGCGGGCGGCCCGGGCCGGGAGCGATAGTCTGAGGGGAGGCGCAGGCGGGGGGAGGCCTCGGGGCCTGGTTTGGCGGCCCATGGGGAGGGATGTTCGCCTCAGCGATGCCCCTGCCTTTCGTAATTTTGCCTTCTGTTTTTAAATGCTGGTGCATTTGCCTGGAGAAGAGAAGGCTCCGGGGAGACCTTATAGCGGCCTTTCAATATCTGAAGGGTGCCTATAGAAGAGCTGGGGAGGGACTCTTTGCCAGGAAGGGTAATGATAGGACAAGGGGAAACGGTTTTAAATTGGAAGAAAAAAGATTCAGATTAGATCTCAGGAAGAAATTTTTTACTTTGAGGGTGGTGAGACACTGGAACAGGTTGCCCAGAGAAGCTGTGGCTGCCCCATCCCTGGAGGGGTTCAAGGCCAGGCTGGATGGGGCTTGGAGCAACCTGGTCTGGTGGGAGGTGTCCCTGCCCAGGGCAGGAGGTTGGAATTGGATGATCTGTGAGGACCCTTCCAACCCAAACCATTCTATGATTCTATGATTCTATGATTCTTGCTGCACCTGGATCTATGTCATAACCTGTCAGCCTCAGCCACTGAAAAACCGTCCTCCTCCGTCCTTGTCATTTTGGGGCCTCCGCTCTTCCCCCCTCCTCTTCTTCAAAAACAAAGCGTTTATCCTGTGGAGTTTTTTTCATGGGCCATACGTGGGATTCACACGCACAGAGGGAGCCTAATTTACGCTGAGGGATTTTATGCTTTCTTGCAAACAATCTAAGTTTATATGCATTTCAAAATAAAACGAACTGCTGCCAAGCAAGATGGAGACTTGCAGCTTTTTCCCCCCTCCTGCTTCTGCATCTCCCACCCAGTGTCCCCATAATTCTGCACCTTAACCATTCAACCTTATGCCCACCCTGGGCCAGATGGGGAGAAGGACACAGAAGAAACCTCTCCAGTTATAAGGGAGGATGTAGCAGCCTTTTAAGCTCCTGTCAGACATTCTGCAAATAATTGTTTTTCCAGGCCTGAAATGGAGGCAGCTTGAGGGCTCCTTTACACCCACGCTTCTTCCCAGGCTTTCAAAGAGACAGAAAGGAGGAAACAGAGCTACTTGCTGGAGTCACTGTGTTTCCTTCCCCTTTCTCTTGCGACTGGAAAAGTAACTTCAACTGCTCCCTCCCCTGTATTTTATCCCAAAGAGAGAGGGAACCTGATGAGGTTCCTGAGAGGAACCTGATGAACTCTAATAAAGGCAAGTGTAGGGTGCTGCACCTGGAGAGAAATAACCCCCTGCACCAGTACAGGTTGGGGGTTGACTTGCTGGAGAGCACCTCTGAGGAGAAAGACCTAGGAGTCCTGGTGGACAACAGGATGACCATGAGCTAGCAATGTGCCCTTGTGGCCAAGAAGGCCAAGGGCATCCTGGGGTGCATCTAGAAGAGTGCGACCAGCAGATTGAGAGAGGTCATTCTGCCCCTCTATTCTGCCCTGGTGAGGCCCCATCTGGAGTCCTGTGTCCAGTTCTGGGCTCCCCAGTTCAAGAAGGACAGGGAACTGCTGGAGAGGGTACAGCAGAGGGCTACAAAGGTGATGAGGGGCCTGGAGCATCTTCCTTACGAGGAGAGGCTGAGGGACTTGGGTCTTTTTAGCCTGGAGAAGAGAAGACTGAGGGGGGGTCTGATCAACACCTGTGAATACTTAAAGGGTGGGTGTCAGGAGGATGGGGCCAGTCTTTTTTCAGTGGTGCCCAGGGACAGGACAAGAGGAGATGGGCACACACTTGAACACAGGAAGTTCCATCTAAACATGAGGAGGAACTTCTTTCTTTTGAGGGTGGCAGAGCCCTGGAACAAGCTGCCCAGAGAGGTGGTGGAGTCTCCATCTCTGGAGACATTCAAAACCCACCTGGACATGTTCCTGTGCAACCTGCTCTGGGTGGACCTGCTTTAGCAGGGGGGTTGGACTAGATGATCTCCAGAGGTCCCTTCCAACCCCATGTAATTCTGTGATGCTGTGATTTGTCCTGCTTCCTGGAGAAAGGTGTAGAGGAATTGCTTTTCTTGCCATCTGCCATCAGCATTTGCAAAGCTGAGGAGATGGCACGATTTGCTGGGAACAAGTTGTGAGGAGAGGTGAGATCGCAAGGCAGCACTTGGATGCTGAAGGGAACACCCTGCTGGTACAACCTCGGAAATGATGGTGTCCCCACAGCTGATGAGTGTCAGTTTGGATCCAAGAGCCAACATCTCCTCCCAGCTGCACTAAGGCTGAGGGAAACGGGATTGTGGAGCTACGCTTAATGTTCTGTAGCAACACTGCACTCACGGCCTGAGCATTGTGCTTCACGCCAATGCAGTCATGAGCTTCACAACTGACAAGTACGTAACTGTCTTGATTGAAATACTGGCTGCTCACCAGCGTGTGTATTTTAACTTCCTGAATGGCGGCAGACTTGTGTAATACTTTCTGACTCATAATCACAGAATCATAGAATGGTTAGAGTTGGAAGGGACCTCAAAGATCATCTAGTTCCAACCCCCCTGCCATGGGCAGGGACACCTCCCACTAGAGCAAGTTGTTCAATGCATTTTCTAACACGTAACGAGAGGATGTGAGGAAACAGCCTCAAGTTGGAGGTTTAGATTGGATGTTAGGAAGAATTTCTTCACTAAAAGGGTTGTCAAACATTGGAACAGGCTGCCCAGGGAAGTGATGGAATCACCGTCCCTGGAGGTATTTAAAAGACATGCAGATGTGGCGTTTAGGGACATAGCTTAGTGGTGGATTTGGCAATATTACGTTAACTTTTGGACTTGATCATCTTAAGGGTCTTTTCCAACAGAAGCAATTCTATGATTGAAATGGTATTTTACACAAAAGTAAGCAAAAACAAGGGATCACCAGCCCTGGATAGAGGTTGGGTATTCTGACAGTCATATCAAGGGCTGACAGCGTGCCTGGAAGGTGTCACATCAACCGAGCTTAATAAAGTTGAGTTTTCTTTATGACAGCACTTCACAGAGTTGACAGAACATTATGGAAGGTGAAAACAAGGAATAAAAGTTAAGTCAGCTCTCTACAGAGAAATTAAGGGAATGTCATTCCAGTAATGAGAACTGTCCCCAGCACACCTTCCGCGTGTGCCACCAGAACCCTTGTAGGCAGCTTCTGACAGGGACCGCTCTCACTGTCCAGTGGAGTCCATCACCACTGAAGCCTTCCAAACTTGCTAATTTTTCTTCCCTGTCTTAAATTGTTACACATTGGAAAAGAGAAGAAAAAAAATTTGCTGTTGTCATGGCCTGTAACTTCCTCCTTTGCACTCCTTCCCATGCTCACCCCAAGTGGGGGTCACATGCCTCTCTGTGAGAAAGCTCTTGACAAGATAAACAACTTCTCACATCATAGGACAAGTTTTCCCAGCCTTTTGCTTGCTTGTTTGCTTGTTTGCTTGTTTGTTTTTTAGCTGTCACTGAAGTTAGCTGTCACTGAACTCTTGTGCCAGAGTTCATGAGCACGTACAGCAGTGCTCCCTGGGGTTTTGCTGTCCTTGCAGAAATAGGTACAGGATCTTCAACTCAGTCTGAAATGCCTACTCCTCTGATTCATCGTGACAGTCACTGGAGTTTCCTACGTGCTTTCTCACAAACCAGGCTATGTTCCAGTCCTTCAGAGTTTTGGCTTTGAAATCCAGCCCAAGATCCTTTGAAAAACTCAGGTAGATGCAGTAGCCGTGTGGGAACAAGTTTGGAGCCTGTATGAGGCTGTGTAAGAATACTCTTAGGAAAGGCCTGTTTCAAAGGTAGTGCCATGTCTTCTTGAAATGCTATCACAAAAGAGAAATCACAGACACAAAGAAGTTGTCTCTAACCAGAGCTTTTCCCCAGTGATTAAAAGCACCAGCTGTGTTCACCTTCAAAAGGTACAAATAATTGGACAGCACCGCCACCAAAAATAAAAAATGAAGTGCTCATTAGCAATCATTTAGCTTCTATGCATCCCATGATTCTGTCAGAAAGTTCAGTGATCTTCTCATTAGGACTTAGGTTAAAAATACACATTTTGATCTTTCAGGAGTGTCATTCCTAACTCTCTAGAAGTCATTTGAAATTTCTGCCCATTTTGATCCTCCTCAGGTAGCTGTTCTTTCCAAATCCGTGGTTCCAGGAACCAGAGAACTGAAGCAACGAGACATGAAGGAGTCTAAGCTGTCCCCTTGTCAGAGACTTCCCTCAATTGTTCCAGAAGTGAAAGAAAATCATAGAATCACACAATTGCCTGGGTTGGATGTGACCTTTCAGGGCATTGTCCAACCATCGCCTGACACTGATAAAAACCATCACTAAACCATGTCTCTAAACCTGTCTTTTAAATACCTCCAGGGGTGGTGCCTCAACCACTTCCCTTATTAAGCATTCCAAGGCTTAATAATCATTTCAGTGTGAAATTTTTCCTAATATCCAATCTGAACCTCTCCTGGCACAACTTGAGGCCATTCCCCGTTGTCCTATCGCCTGTTCCTTGGGAGAAGAGACCAACCCCCGCCTCTCTACAACCTCTCCTTTCTCTACAGCTGTAGAAAGTGATCAGGTCTCCCCTCAGCCTCCTTTTCCTCAGGCTGAGCAACCCAGTTCCTTCAGGCACTCTCACTACTCAGGAAATCACCTATATCTTAGGTCTAAAGCTCTTTTAATTGTGCAGGCTGCATATCCTGTAATTACCCTTGCACTGAATCCTGAAGTAAGTAGATAAATAACGCACCATAAAAATCGTGGTGTCACCAAATGCTGTTATTGGCCTAGCAGCAGCTGATTTGGGTTGTCACCTCTCCAGGACAGCAGCAACGAGCACTACATGGAAGTCAACCACCAAGTCAAAGACAACAGGTTTATTTGAGGCTGAG